GGGTTCTCCGATTCTCGGATACTCGGATTGTGGCGGCTAGATACTGGGATGCTGGATGGCAGTGGTCGCTCCACTTGAGGCAACCCTGCAGCCCAGCAGCCCAGACGTCGAACGAAGGACAGACGATGGACGTCGTCGTGGCCATGGAGACGACGACAAACCAAACCAATCCAAACCAAACCCAACCAAACGCTCCTGTTTCCACAGCTGCCACTTCGCCCGACGTCGCTGCTGCAGTGAATTTGCCGCACTGCCTCAGCAAAAAGTGGGCGTTCTCCAGCTCACTCACTTACTGGTGCACTGAGAGAAATCTAAACTGTTAGCCAAATAGTTATTTAATACGATTTTTTGTAAGTCATTTCTTACTTTAAATTATTTATTTTTAGTTCTTAATTGAAAGGATTATTTATATAAAAATTAATCTTTATCATATAAATACCAAGTAATTGTCTGTAATAAGTCATTTATTTTTTATTATAATGCTATAATTATTTTAATATTTTATTTATGACATGAAAGCAAAAGATTTCTTAATTTATTTTTATAGAAATGCCTGACATAAATTTATTTTGGTAAATTTATTTTATTTTTTCTTTCATCCCAAGCCTTCTCTAGTTAAAGTTTGGGTCTTCTCTTTCAGTGCATAGTGACTCGAGTGGGGCGTCGACACGCCCCATTTTTGCAAGTGCCATCGTCGCTGTAGTTGTTGTTGTTGTTGGTGTGGTTGTCGTTGTCGTCATCGTTCCCATCGTCAACGTTGTCGGTGGCACTTCACTTTTCTATATTAGCGCCACGTAAGTGCAGCCGCAGGGGCGTGGCAATTGCATTAGCGAAGGACGCAAGGGGGGCGGGGGAAAGGGGATAATGGGCGTTGGAGGACATTAGTATCGCAGTAGATAAAGTGGTTGGAAGTGAAAAATTATACGAAGCTATAATGTTAACGGATGGAGCAGGGGTGATTTCTAAATACCCTTTTGAGAAGTCATTTTTGGAGTTCCAGAAAATATTCAGTATTTACAATGCAAATATTGAAATTTTTCCATTTTAATATTAGAATTTTGTGGAGTTTATCTATGTATTATTATAATCCAGAAACCAATTAGTTGTCAAAATAAACTTCAAATTAAAGTGCCTTTTTAAAATATATTTCACTATATATTTTCACATAAGTACTCATTTTAAAGAAACAACATTCCATTCTTTATTTGTTACTTTTTCCAATAGATTTCAAGTCATTCCTTTGAACTCCACAACTAGTAAATAAAATCGTCATGGTCGCAAAACAAACTCAAAGTGCAATTTATTGTACATCATTTGCGAAATGCTTTATAAAAACATGCAATGAATTTATCAACCCAATGAAGTATACCGTTCGGGGGCCAGGACACATTTTGTGTGTGTAATATATGCCGCAAAGTTATAGTTTGCCCTTTGACCCGCCGTTTGAAATAAGTAGTCATGGAATAAGTGAGTGGACTGAGCAGACTGTGTCGTCTGTCGTTTGAGGCTAAAAGAAAAAGAGGGCGTTTGGTTGCACTCTCTTGGTCCGGGGTGCTCCTATTGCACTGAGAAAACAAACGCTAATATAATAAAATGGGAAAACATTTATATGTAATAATCATCGCAACATAATCCCACCATAGGGAGTTTTTGTAAAAATACCCCCATTTTAGACACCTATTTTGACATTTAAAAGTGATTTTAAGTGATTTAATTTATAAAATAATATATATGTAGCTATAAATGTTAAATAAATAAATATTACTTTATATACCTATGTATAAATAAATCAAATAAAATTGGACACCTTCTTATCATTTCTTCCAGTGTGACCGTATTATATTTTAATCTATATATTTTCGTGTGCCCGGCTACTTTTTATTTTTAAATTGATATTTTTCGGTGTACGTGTGAGTGCAGCTGTGTGAGTCAGCGCGTGTGTGTGTGTGGCCCGTTTAATGGCCACAAAGCGGAAACTGGAGCGTGGCTGCTTCTTCTTCTTCGTCTTCTTCGGCTGATGCAGCTGCATTAGCAGCCATTTGCAGCAGCCATTGATGCCAGTGCATATGTGTTTGTTGGTCTCTCCCCTTCTCTTTCTCTCCCTCTCGTTTTGGGCGTGCTTTACTGCCATTTATATTTATGTTTGCCCGATGCCTTGGCCCCCCGAAAAATGATGACATGAAAAATTGTGTTGCCCGCTTTTGGGCGCTGCTCTCTGATTCGGTTTCGCTTGGGGTTTTCGGGGGTTTTTTGGGGGTTCTTCGGGGGGTCTTGGCGGTTCCGGGGATCCCCACACCGAAACTCCTCGGATGCGGCCCTAAGGCCAGTCAGCAGACAGCCAGGAAGCTTTTCGAGCGCAATTTATGGCTTTTTAAATCGAAAGAAATTCAATGCTTGTTTAAGAAGAATGAACGAATGAACCAGGAGTGAGAGAGACAGAGACAGAGTGAGAGAGACGGAGAGAGCCAAAACAAATTTCGAGATTTATGTTTACCCTCGCAGTGCTTATTTTGTACTTCGCTTTATTCCATCAATTATTTTTTTGTTTGCTCTCGCTTCTGCCAAGGATGTTTGAGACATGGTAAGTAGCCCTAATTGTCCCAAACAAATATTCCCCGGCTACAAAAACGTTCAGATCTAAAATCAAAAAATAACCTGGCATTTGCATTAAATTTGGTTTTTTTTTATAAATATTATTAGGTAAGAAAATATTATATTAAATTTAATTTAATATAAATTCAAAATAACTGGGCATTATTTTTTATTTTATTTATTTAACTCGATTTGTAAGAAATTTAATTTATTTCCGTTTCGAAAGGAGAAGAAATGTTTGAATGGTGATTAATGCGTGCCCAATTTATTTGATTTTACAAATAGTTGTCGCCCCGCACATATGTTCCTGTCAAGGATCTCGCTGGTGCTTGAAAATGCCACCAAATTGCTGTGGCAAAAACCGAACCGAACGATTTCTTTGTGAGCCTTCGATTTCGATTCTGGCCAAGGAGTGAAAGTGAATACTGTGGGAATAAATGGGTGGGAGGACCATTAAATGCTGTTGGCTGGCCTTGGTGACGCGTCGCGACGCGATGCGCATAAAAAATGGAAAATCAGATCGGAAAAACACGCACAAAAGGCGTTGGCCAGCCGAAGGGGTGGAAGAAGGGGGCGTAAATGTATAGAAAAAAAAAAACGAACCAAAACCAAAGAATATGGGAAAAGGGCAGGCTCGGTTCGCAATCAATGCGTTGGTGGCCAAGAAGTGGGGGAGGCTGCTTTGATTGTGGGCGTGGCACTGCCTTGTGCCAGTTTCGGCTATGCAGCCACACACATACATACATACGCAGTCACTAATACAGATACGGATGCATAGATACAGATACGGGGCCACAGATACAGATACAAAGCTGCGGCCTCATTTTGCGGACGCCAAATAGAACTAAAACTGTAACTGAAACTGAATCTGAATCTGAAACTGAAACTGAGACCAAAAACCGAAGACCGAAGCCAGCCGGACCATTGTCCTTCGTCCTTTTTCGGCTGCATTAGCCAACTCATCCTGTTACGTCCTCGCCACTTTCCACTTTTCACTTTCCATTTCAAGCTCATCCCCTCACCTTTCGGCCATAGCAACTTTTTTGTGAAATTCATTCGAATTTGACCTTCGCAAAAATAGTGCAAAAACACACACACAATTTAGGGATGCAGGGAAGCCACAATAAATAAAATGACAAAATGTAATTGCTTTCGAAAGTATTGGATGTAGGATAAGCTTCTGTGGCAAAAACTAAAATTATTATTTTTTAAAGTGCTTGATTTATTTTTTTAACATTTGTATTTGAATCCCAAATGAAGGGTACACGTATTTTCGACTACGATCTCAGGCCTGGCTGCATTAAACCCAATTCCCAATCGTTTATAACAAGTGATTTTTATTTTTGTTTCATTTGTTATTCCTCCGCTTTATTTTTCCTGCAGCCTTCAGTGTGTCAGTGTGTGTGTTTTCTGTTCTTTCTGCGGCAATTGCCAAAATCCAAATTAAGCTTTGGCAATAAAGCCTGGCACAGACAATAACAGCTAACCTCGGTCCTGGAAATCCCCTGCAGGATCCTCATCATCCCAGCATTCCTGGCCACCGATTGTTTGGCTGCCCCACTTCCCCGATACACGCGGAGAAAAGGGGTGATTGCTAGCTACTTTTTGGCGACTTAATGTAGAGTATTCTTCGATTTTGTTCGCTAAATCATGAATTCACAAAAACAAACAAATATATTAGGTATGATTAATAAACTTCTTTTCTGTTTGCTTTAATTAAAAATTAACTATAATTAATTCAAGAAAATAGAAAAATGATTGATAAATATTAAAAATATATTAGATATGTTCCATACATAATTGTCTATTTCTTTAAACTTAAAATAAATTAAAAGTTATTTAAAGATTTATTTCTCTTTCTTTAAAAAAACGTTCCATTAACTTTAAATTAATTAATAAATTAAAACTAGCTAATATTTCTTGTTAATTCATACACAGCTATATTAGACCAACTATTTTTTGCAGTGCACGTTAGTCCTGTCCTAACGGTTGCCGCCCCATAACTAACTCAGAACACTCGAGCGCCTCAATGGACACACGGATACGCAGAATCGCAGAATCAGAATCAGAGAATCGAGGGGTTACGAGGGGTTGCGAGAGGACGAGGATGAGGACTCGCGGGAACCAAAGCCGTCGGAACTTGGAGAATGTTTTGAGTGTTGAGGGGATGTTGGGCGAATGTCATGCGATTGTTTTGTGCTACGTTGTGTAGTGTTGTGTTGTGTTGCGAGTCCTTGCCGTCGACGGGCTTTGTTTGAATGGCACTCGAATCGAGGGGATTCGGCGGCGGGAGGGGGTCACCGGATTCAGATTCGGATTCGAGTTTTGGGATGGGAATGGTTACTGGGCCATATGAGTGGGCAGGCCAAACAAGATTGGGTCGAGGCTAATAAATACGAGCCACTTACTTGATATAAATGAAAGCACAAGAATCATATCTATGGTCACTTGAAACCACTTCATCTCATTTCCCTCTGCACGCTTTTTCTGCCTGTGCTGCGGTGGTGGATCTGCCCTATATGTAATCCCCTTCTGGCGGCTCCTCCGAATGTTCCTCTTTCGATATTATCGATATATTCGATATCCAGACCGATCGATTTTAGGGCGCAGGCGCGGCTGTCGCGGGAGAAGTGAACCTTTTCTTCATGTGTTTCTCATGCGGGTTTCTCTTGATGTTGTTGTTGTGCGTTTTATGCATCTCAGTTGCGGTTTTAATTCGCAGTGTCCTCGAATTGGCAGCATTTATTTACATCGATTATTATTCTGGGTATCGTTTCCATAGTAAATATAACATATTTCTCTCTATATAATATATATATATTTATATTTATATTTATGTTTATGTTTGTATGTACGTTTTGGTTTACTAGGTATCTATATATAAATATATTTGTAAATATATTTGTTTCTTGGCAGTTTTCGATTAAAATTCTTCAAATGTATGTTCTCCTTTTAGTGGCCTCCTCCCGGCCTTGCCTTTGTTTTGCTCCTTGTTGTCCTCGTTGTCCTTTTGCTTCACATCGCCTCATTCCTGGGCTCCTCCTCCATCTGTTCTTTGTTCCGCGAAGAGTGGAAAGGGAGAGGGCTGGGTGGTGGAGCGAGTCCTGGAAGAAAGGACACATTTAATTAGTGCTTTCATTAAAAACAAAAAAATTTCCTTTCATTTCGCTGGCGAAATGTATGTGTGGGTCTTTCATTTGGTTTTGCAGGGGATTCTCTTTTAGAAAGACTGCGGGAACTGGGATATCTTGAAAGTAATTTAAAACCTAACAAATATTTTAAATATGATAAGAAACTAGAGCTTGAAAAAATATCGACAGTTTGCTTTATATCGATATTTAAGTTTTCCCTTCAAAACATCAATATTATCGAACCTATATTGTCAAAACATCGAAAATGTCGTTAATTTTCAAGCTCTATAAGAAAGTCCTTTACTTTTAAAAACTTCTAATTAAATGTTCTATTTACCAGTTTCCATTTACCAGTTGTTGATAAGAAAACAAGGCGACATAAGAAAAGGTGCTTGAGATTTATAAGGCCTAAACTTTCCTTGTTTTTCCGACATCTTCTTAGCCCAGCTCATCCGCTTTCCGTTCGAAGAACAATAAAGTTTTCAATCCCAGCCGCGAGTCCCAAATATATTTTATTTTCCCTCTCGCGACTTTCAGTATTTTTCTGTTTATGCAAATTGATTTTAATTATAATTTTCAGCTCTGGCCGCTGACCCAAATTGGATTGTTTGAAATGTATACATTAGAATGGAGCATTTTTCGAGACGCGGGCCGCAAACATTTTGTGAATTTTAATTGCTAATTTTGGGTAATTCATTTACCCCGGATCCAAAGGTATCCCACGGCATTCGCGCCCAAAGTTTTTGTTCTTCAGTCGCCTCCTTTGGGTCTGTTAATTTAATTAATAACTCTGCAAGCGACTTGACGAGCGAGAGTCCCTTTTTTCTTCCTGGGACTGGGATAATCTCCAAAGTCCTTTGAGTGGCTGAGTGATTGCCCAAGTTTATTTCTTAAGGCCCCTTTAAATGCATTTTAATTGGCCGCATTTTCTCTATATTTATTTATTATATTCTACTTTAAACATTTAAGGCTAAATAGTGTTTGAATCTCACTCATTATTCAAACTTTAATCAGAATTATTGCCCAGGAAAATCAATAGGTTGTCCTTGAGATCCCCGGCTGTCACCTTTGAACTTGATTTATCTGCCGGAGGCAAAGTTGTCATGCGGTGCTTAGCATAAATAAACATGACATGACATTGATGGCTTCGGCGCACAAAGTAAGCTTAAAGTGTATGCAATTTTGTGATATTTTCAACCCAATGTTTTTTAGAAATTAATGCTGGGTAAGAAATATAAATTTAAGCTTTACGACCGTTACGCAAACCCATTTGCCTAATTTAATTCATGGAAAATGTACTCCAAAGTTATGGCGAATTAAAAAAAATCAGCAACATTTCAGTGCCCCTGAAAAGTTGCTACATTATTGCGCAATTCAATTAGGGCGACTTTAAGTCGCCACTTGAACGAAATGAGGGGTTGGTAAGGTGAGAGACGTGGGAAAAATGTAAAGGGGGTGGGAAAGGGGCAGGGGGTTGCGTGGGAAATATGTGAAAGGGGGTCGAGGGGGGCCAGGTGTGGGAGGTGCCATGAATGAGCAATTCAGCGAGGGCGTGAAAAGGTTTTCGGAAGTAATTTAAGAAAATGTCATAAGAGTGTGCATGACCTTCCCACCCCCATTACCACCCCCGCTCCCTACCCCCCGGCACTCTGCTCACTTGCCGCTGTCAAATATTTAACCCACTTAATGCCCAAGTGACATATCTGTAGATTCCCCGAAAATGACTCATAGTTCACAAATTAAGAAGATTTTTAAATGTTTAATTTTAAAGCATTAAACATTTATAAAATTTATAAAAATAAAATGGGTCAGTTTCTAAATATTTGCCTTGCCGATAAACATTCTCAATTTCCCCGAAAATTACTCATAATTTTTAAATTTGATGAGAGAAAGATTTTAGCATTTTTAAAAGAGAAGTTAAGTTTTGTTATGTATTCAATAATTTAAAAAAAAATTTGATTGGTTTAGTTTCTAAGTACTTCATAAACATTCTCAATTAGGTTTCTCTGCCATTTGTTTCTACTTCTTCTCCTACAGGGAATCTTTGTCCAAATTTCCATATTCATTTGGGGTAATGAATCGAGTGAATCTTAATTAGAGGGTTAAGGGTCGCCTGCAGCGACTGCGACTGAGGCAGGTGGCAGGTGGCAGGATAAAGCGATGGGTGGATGGCAGGATGGCAGGATGGAAGGATGGCTGACTCGAGGACGACACGTTTTTGATGCAACAAAAGATGCCAAGTGTCAATTTAAACAGCCGCACGAATGAAAGAGACGGAGACTTGTCTCCTGGCCCAAAAAATGTGCCAGGGGCATCGTTCGCTCGCTTTCGCACTCACACTCTTTTCGTCCTGCCACTTGAAGCTTGAAAAAGCCAACGTTGACAGCGTTTAAGACTTTCCCCATTGTCCTTGCCAGCGCCTTGATGGTTTGACAGGGCAAGGCAACGCCTCTTCCTCTCTCCCTCTCCCTCTCTCTCTCTTTTCGTCCTGCCACAGGACCTGCCTGTCCTCGCCTGTTGTCTTTTCATATTAAATGCATGGCGAAATGTACAAAAAAAAAAGAAGGAAAAAACAGAAAAGCGAAACCAGAGAAACGACAGCCCGACAAGAGCGAAAGGGAGTGCATTATATTGTACATCGAAACTGTGTGTATACTGGACTTAAAAATAATTATATTTACCTACAGCAAAATGGCTTAATTCCAGTATCAAAATTGTTTGCATTTATTTTATTTTGGTCTCAGCACTTTTCTCTCTAAAATGTTACTTACACAACGTTTGCTGTGAAGGCGTTGCAAAGTTGTACAAAAATATTTTAAAATCATTTCTGATTAATTTAAGTACTTTAAATCATTTTTTCTACGATTTTTATTTTTTTGATATTATTTTATGAACTATAAACTTTTCTAAAATCATTTAAAATAATAACCAACCATCTTCTCAAGCGATTAAAATCATAATACCCCCAGCAAAGGGTAAATGAAGGGACTTAAGTCAAAAAGCGCGAGAGAAATTCGATTTTTTGCCGTCAACTTCCGTTTGTCTGCCCGCCCAATTTGCCCCGTCATCACGCGATAGTTGCCACTGCCACGGCCTTTGGTCCCCGCAACCCCAACCCCTAGCCCCTCGAAAGCCCCCAACCGTCCGCACCACATTTGTCGCTCATTATGGGCGCTCATTAGGCGGCGCTAGCGGCATGTCAAGTCTGCAAGAAGGACGGGGCAAAAGCAAAAAAAAAAAAAAAAATCCAGAATGGGGTGAGCTCGAGCTCGAGCTCGAGCCCCTGACCCCTGACCCTTAACCCCTAATCATGCAGAGCAGCGTGCGAGGATAAAGGGCGTTATAACTATATTATGCAGTCTGACTAAGTTATTTCCCAGCCACCTCAACCAGTGGCAAAGTCTGGAATTAAGCCAAGCTGGGGCAAAGATTTTACATTTCCTGTGGTCTCGTAAAGAAATTATTCTAAATTAAATTAATATATCCTGATTTTCAACCTTATAATCAGAGTATATTTTAAATGTAATATTTATTATTTTCAATTTATTTCCATTTTAATTTTGGTACTATTTTATTTCATGTCAAACTGTAGTCCCCCAAAATTGTTCGCCTCATAATTTGTGAATATTTTTGGCTTTTATAATATTGTATTCGTGAAGAGCCTCGAGAGGCACAACAAAGGCTAAGGCAACAATTTTATTCCCATCAACATCAACATGAACATCATCATTACCATTCTGATTCTGGGCTACTCATTCGCATGCTCAGCAGCAGCTGTCTCTTTCCATTGGCCATAGCCCCGTCCCTTTCGCTTCACTATCCCTGTCTCTATTTGTCTCTGTCGCATCGCTCGTTGTCTGGTTGTTGCTGATTTTGCTATTATTACATGCATTTCGTGTAATGAGTGCGATTAGCATTTTCAATGAAGTGGGGTTAACAGTGTGCCTTGCATTTCTAGTTGCTTTCTCCTGCTCTCCACCAACTTTCACCCACTGGCACTCGATCCCCGCCAGAAATCGCTCTCTCTCTCTCTCTCTCTTTCGGTGCTCCAAATGATGCTGCGTCATCAACATAATCATCGGGCATCAACATTTCAAATTGAGCGGCATTATTGGCCCGTCGGCACATAAAGCTATATACTCGCCGTTCGCCCCGATATCCTCCTATATCCCCCTAAATATATAAAGAGCCACACATGCCCCCCATAAACAGTCGCTGCATTTGATCAATTGCCAGGCATATTTATGAATTCACAACACTGCGCGCAAATGTTGATTTCGCAAGTTAATTACACTGGGCGACATGGGAAATGTAATGTATTCGTACTAAAAACCTTTTAACTTTATATGTAAATGCCATAATGGGAAATAATAAAAATACTTTCATTCATGAATTTATTTTTATGATATCTGTATATAATTGAATATTAATTAATTAAAATGAAATTAAAATTTTTTGTAATTAAAATAAATAATAATATTCTTTCAATGATTTATTGCAATATTTGATTTAAATAAACCCTGAATTGATACCTTTTTTATGTTTGTTTATAATTACTACTTTTTTAAAATTTTAAATAAATTATAATATATATTAAGCACCTTAACCCCTAGTAACCCCTTCATGTTTTTACGAGTGTAAATGTGCGATTTGCAGTCGCATTTCTGC